AAAATAATTGTATTAATTAAAAAAAACATTATCCATAAAAGTAATAGGATTAGTACAACAATAAGGGGGGAAAGTGGGGGGGAAATGTTGAACAAAAAACCCATTGAGGGGAGGGGGCGGGCGAGGGCTTATAGATGGTTATCCAACATATGATTAAAACTCCAGTACTACTACAAGTGCTTTGAGTGGGGGACTGGGATTTTGAACACAACCCCCACCCCCACCCCTCCCCCAGTGCTAAACATGTAGACTATTGTTGTTGATTTGGTTGTTATAATTATTTTTTAAATAATTTTTTTTAATACGATGTCTAGACAACAACAACAACAACAACAAAATGATTATTATTATTATAATTATCTTATTTTTTTCAAATTAACAAAAAAATTATAAATAAATAGATAGGATATTAAACTAGATATTAAAAATTATAAAAATTTTAATACTATTTTTAATTTTTAACAAAAAATAGATTTATAGAATTTATTTTTAAAAATAATTTTAATTATTTTTTAATTATTTAATTTTTTAATTTATTTTAATATGTAATATTTTAGTAATATTTCTATAAGTCAAATATATATATATATATATATATATTTAAAAAAAACAAACTAAAATTATAAAATTTTGTTTTCAAATTATTAAATTTACTGCCAATAATAATATTTACCAATAAATATATAATATATTTTTAAAAAAAAATTATTGTTTTTATAAGTATTTATATTTTATTTATAAATTTTAATAATATAAAAATAATTTGTATTACAATTTATTTTGTTGTTTAATAAGCTACTTGTTATTTTAAATAAACTTGAAATTAAAAAAAAAATAATTTTCATCCAATCCAAAATTCATCCAAATTAATAATTCATTCAATAATTATTTTAATTTAAAACAAAATTAAAAAATTAATTAACTAAATAAATAAATTTATCTAAAAAATAAGTTTTTAAAACATTTTTTATATATTGATATTTATTATTATTATTACTATTATAGACAACAAACTTTATATTGATTTACTATATATATCTGTATTTTATAATATATTTATATTTATATTATTATTTACCCATCAATGTTGTAGACAACGGATATTACAGAAAATGTCTATCACTTAAGTGTTATTTATTTTTATATATATTTATTTTTGTTGATAATTTTTACCAGACATTTAAGTAAATAAATAATAGTTATAAACATAAGTGTAATAATAATAATAATAATAATAATAATAATAACTACTTGACTATGTCTGGTCAATAGGGATCTTGAATTAACTATTTATATATATATATATATAAAATGTGGGAATAATAGTATTGAAGAAAAAAAATAAATTAAAAAATGCACCACAAAAAAGACATTAATAAACAAATAAAAACTATATATCAATATTATACAGTAAACAGTAAATATATATATATATATATAGAGAGAGAGAGAGAGAGAGAGAGAGAGAGATTACTAAATAATATTGACTGAAAAAATATTTTTTTTATTTCAATATAAAACCAGTTGAGAATGCTAGAAAGCATTTCCACACGAATTCCTAATCATAATTAAAAATTAAATTCAGTATGATAAAATAAAATCAACTAAAGTTATGTAGGGTATCAAACGATTTAGTATGACAAAATATACAACTATAGTCATGTGGGGTATCAAATGATTCAGTATTACAAAATAAACTACTATTTTCCTAAAAAATAAACTTAAAAACGAAAAAAATATAAAAATCAATATTCAAAAAAAAATCAAAAAAAAAATTCAAAAAAATTCAAAATTTTTTTAATTAATTTTTGGACACAATTTTCTTCAATTTCCTAAAAAATAAACTTAAATAAGAAAAAAAACAAAAAAAAAATTCAAAAAAAAATTCAAAAAAAAATTGTAGCGGATAGTGGATTCGAACCTATGTCCTCGTGGGACAGACAGACCGACAGACCGACTTATAGAATGCATATACGTATTCCTTTCAGGAATTCGTGATAAATAACTAAATAAATAGATAATAGATTTAATTAAAATATATATATTAGAAATAATTGATTTTTTTTAAAATTATTTATATATATATATATTAATTAAATAATACTAATATTACGTAACAAACTATATGTATATGATATTAGTTTAATAATAAATATCATGATTGATATTGAGTTTGTAATAGTTATAAATTTATAATTATCTATTTATAAAAAATATACTAATGATAATAATAATAATGATGATAATATAATATAATAATTATGAAAAATAGTAAAAAAAACAATTATATTTATTAACTATAATATATTATTACATAATATCGAATAACAACTCAAAAAATAAATTATTTATAAGTATTATATTAATTAATTAATATATATTTTTTGTATGATATTATATATATATCTATATATATTTTTTATTTGTAGTTTATTATAATCGTGTTATATTACAATATTAATTACAATACAAATTATATTTATTTATATTTCCTTATAAATACTAATATTGTAAGTTATGAATTGAAAAAATATGATATATTATTATAATATTATATTACGGATTATCAATTTCATAATTTTTTATAATATAAAATAACATTTATGTTAATTTAATTTTTAAAAACATTATGGATTTTATGATTTTTAAAAAAAATTATTAAACTATTTTGTTTGTCTGGATTTTATACTTAAAAAAATAAAATATTTATAATTAAAACAATTTTTTTTAAAAATAAAATAAGCAAATAATTTTTAAATAATTTTTTTTTAAAAAACAACAAATAAATAAATATTTATTTAATATATATATATAATAAATAATAAGAAATATTTTTTTTAATTTGTTAATTATGTTAACTGTTAGTGAAATTATTTGTTAAAAAAAGTTTTGAAAAAATTATTATTTAAAAAAATCAAAATTAAAATTTCTGTTATGTAACATATTATGTATTAATTAATAATTTTATTTTGTTATATATATATATATCAATATTATATACAGTATATAATTACATAAAAAAAAATCAAAACACAATAAACTAACTAAAAACCAAAAAAAAAAAAAATTTTAAACAAAAATCCTAAAAACATCTAAACAATTGTCTAAAACATTGCCTAAACTTACTGTTCATAAACCCATAGGTAAACGGATTAGTACAGCACGAAAAAAATGTCAACAATTTCATTACGGATAACCAATTGGTACCGATTGTCTGGTCAACCCATTCCCGGCGGCCGCCATACCATATGCCAATCGTATTCACCGTATAGATAGGTGTCCAGCATAGGAAAAATTCAATGACCACCAGAAACAGTATCAAAACTATACGTTTCTGACGGGCTTCGGCTACCAATGGACTGGCATTTGAACGCATAGTCATTACTAGATGTCTGGATGATTGGTGTTGTAGCTCCCGGTGCTGGTGGTCATCATGGTTTTCATCGCTATTATTGGTCATCGATAGCAAATCGGCGGCCAATCCGATGATCTCTGGATCTATCATATAGTTGTTGGTTGTGGTCGTTGTTGTGGTTGTCGTCGCCGATGACGACACTCTGGGATCCGTTTCCGACGATGAGCTCTGTAGGCGGCGTCGGCGGCGTAGTCGACACCGATCGGACTGTGCCTGCATTGACAGTCTCCTTACTTGACCAGAGAGAGAGAGAGAGAGAGAGAGAGAGAGAGAGAAAAAAAAATTTTTGGGAAAAAATCAAATATTAGTATAAATTTTTGCATTTTTTTTATATAAATATTAATAATATTTTTATGTCTCTCTCTCTCTCTCTCTCTCTCTCTCTCTCTCTCTCTCTCTCTTCTCTCTCTCTCTCTTCTCTCTCTCTCTCTCTCTCTCTCTCTCTCTCTCTATCTCTCTCTCTCTCTCTCTCTCTCTCTCTCTCTCTCTCTCTCTCTCTCTCTCTCTCTCTCTCTCTCTATCTCTCTCTCTCTCTCTCTCTCTCTCTCTCTCTCTCTCTCTCTCTCTCTCTCTMTCTCTCTCTCTCTCTCTCTCTCTCTCTCAGTGTCTCTATATTTGACTGTTTTGTGTTCAAACCTGACATTTATTTTTAATATTAATAATAATATTATATGTATATATGTTTTAATCAAATATTATTATTATTTGTGTGTTTATAGTAATATTATGCCATTTTTTTATTTTTATTTTTTTTAAAATTTTTATTTTTATAAAGTCTCCAAACAATCGCATTATTATTATTTTTTTGACAATTAAAAAAATAAACAGACCAAGATTCTGTGTATAAAAAAAACAATTTAATAATTAGTATTTAATATATATTTAATATATAAATATATTTAAAAATTAATTACCTGTATATTAATATAACTATTTATTATCATTATTTACAACAACAACAACAATACAAAAAAAATAGATAATTTATTTTTATTTTAAATAATATTATTTAAAATAAAAATTTATTTATTTACTTATTCATATTTAATAATAATAATAATAATTAATTAATTAATTATACTATGTTTTTTAAATACACTATTGTATACTATACTAATTTTATAATTAATAATTAATAGTTAATAATCTAATTTAATAATATTTAATATTAAATTATAGTATTTATTATTTATTTATTTTTTTGGTTAAAAAATATACATACCCAGGTACAGTTTATTTTGTAAATTTAATTAATGCAATTATCTAAAAAAAATTTGTTAATTTTTTTGTTGTTGTAAATTTAAGTTTAATTTAAAAAAAACATATATAAAGTATGCCTAAAATTAAAACCATATATATATATATAAACAATTAATACATTTTAGTTTTATATTACATTATTATTATAACAAATTTAATCAAAAAAAAAATTAATTGATATTTAATATTTATATATATAAAAAAAATTTTTGTTAATTAATATATTTTATTTAACTAATAAATGTTTACTATAACTATTATACTGTATTTATCGATAAATTATATAATATAACCAATAAATTAATAATAATAGTTTCATTTATCGTTAATCTATATGTAATAAAATATTGTAACTTAAATATAAAACCAAAAAAAAACAAAACAAAAAATGTTATCAAATATCAATTTATTTATCGACTAAAAAAATTATTATTATTAGTATTATAGACTATTTTCTAGTATTTTCTAGTATTTAAAAAAAATAAAATTAATGTATTTTTGTTATTACATTACGTCTAAAAAAATTAAACAAAAATAAAACTCAGTTAAATAATAATTGAATAATTTTTTAATTTAATAAAAAAAAATAAATAAAAATTTCAATAATTTCAATTCACTATCGCTAAATTAATTACTTAAATAATTAAAAATATTCATTTTAAAAATAAATTTAGTTAAAAATAATACATAATTTTCAATTATAATATAATACTAATAATATACAAATATATATATAATATAATACTAATAGTATACTAATATATATAATATAATACTAATAGTATACTAATATATATATAATATAATACTAATAGTATACTAATATATATAATATAATACTAATAGTATACTAATATATATATAATATAATACTAATAATATACTAATATATATAATATAATACTAATAGTATACTAATATATATATAATATAATACTAATAATATACTAATATATATAATATAATACTAATAGTATTATTATTTAGTAGTTTTACGAAATATTAGTAATTAGAAAATTAATAAATAATTATAACCTATTGATTAATATACTATTTACTGTATATATATATATATATATATATAAATGTTTTAATATAATAAAAAAACAAATTGTAAATGTACCTGTTTGTTGTTTACTGAGTTTTAAATTATATTGTAAAGTAATTGCTATCAACGTATAGTTGATTGATATTATCATCAATGGTATTATAAATAGTATTACATTTAAAAACAGTGTAAACGCTATCGACAGGCGCTGTATTGGCCACGACTCCCGACACTCATAATCGCCTATTAATTTTCATAATAATAATAATAATATACTGTATTTAGAGGACAGTTATCACATGTGTGTTAACTACCAGTGTTTTCGATGGGCAATAGTCGGCTGACGACGGCTATCGGCGACATCAATACCAACGATCCAAACCATACTAAGCCAATGATCCGGTAGGCATAGGATAGGGTCTGCCGATAGCCGCGCGACCTCAGCGGCTGACATATAGCGTAGTAGCGCTCGACCGATACGACTACCAGTGTCCACACCGATACCATTACTAATACGGCTTTTTTTATTTTGTATTTTTAATTGGTATTTAAAATATTATTATTATATTTAATATATATATATATATATATATATGATATTATATAATATAACTTTATATAAGTATATGTTTGTCTATATATAAATTTCAACTATATAAATATAATGTATATATATATATATACTATATATATATTTCAACTATATATATAATTTATATATATATATATTGTATATACTCTATATATATTATATATAAACTATATATATACTGTATATATATATATATACTTTGTAATACATACATAAAAATTTATATATTTATCTATAATATATTAATAAAATGTATATACAATAAATTCTAATAAAAAAAAATTATTTATTTATTTAATAGTTGAAAATAATATTTGTTTATATTACTAGAAATTTATTATTATTATTATTTTACTAAAAATAGAGGCATCAATGAAAAACGATAAATTTAAATATATATTCAACAATTAGTAGGGATAACCCTAATTAAAACAAAATTATTAAATGCTATTAATAATATATTTATGAGTTGTAATTATTAATTATTTATTTATTTTATTAAAAATAAAATCTCTATTTATTTTGTTTGAATTTTTTAATTTAACAAAAAATAATAATATTTATTATTAATTAATTTTATAAAAATCTATTTATTTGTTTGAATTTTTAATTTAACAAAAAACAATATTTATTATTAATTAATTTTTAAAAAAAAAATCTATTTATGTTTGAATTTTTTAATTTAACAAAAAAAACAATATTTATTTAATTAAAGTTAATTTATTTAAATGTATTAAATAAATAATTAATTAATAAACAGTGTATTTATTGGACATACCTTGCATATAGGATATCAATGAACACATCAATTGGCCGAAAATAAACTGTTTGTACAGTACGACCATCAATGTAAACGGCATACAAAATACGGCCAATAGTAGGTCACTGACGGCCAGATTCAATAGTAGGCGATTGGTTACCGAACGCATTCGGCGATTGGCGGCCAACGTTATAATGACCAGTATGTTGCCGATAATGGCCAATAAAAATATGAGACTATAGGGTACTATTAGTATAATAATTTGTAGGCCAGTTATGATAAGCTGCTGGTGCTGTAGCTCCGGTAGCTGATTGTTATCGTTAGTGTCTAAATGTATGGTAATGTTGTTGTTAGTGTCGGCAATCATTGTCTTAACAATCGGTAAGTTGTCTACAATATTAAAACTGTTGATTGACTGACCACTACTAGTGGTGGTCAGTAATACCAATTGTTTCGGGGCTAACGGTATCAGCGATTGATTTTTGTAGCAAACATTGATTTGATTAGACATTTAATATAACCAGAAAGCTATATATATATATATGTATAAAATATTATTATAATTAGTTTTATAATTATAATATACACACCAATAAAAATAAATTTAAAAAAAATTACACATAAAAAAGTGTGTTTAAAACTTATACTATAAATTTGTTTGAAAATTTTTTAAATTAATTATTTTATAATAAAATATAACATTATTATTATTATTTGCTAATTTTTAAGATATATATATAGATATTTATTGCTAATATAATTTATATATATTGTATCAATTTTTTTTTAGCATAATTGTATGTCAATTTAAAAAAAAAATTTAAATAAGCAATTTTTGTTTATTGATTATTAATATAAATTAAGATAAATAATCAAAATTTAAACTAAAAATTAAATATTGTATTTAAGAAAATAATTATTTAAAAAAATAATTTATATATATATATATATAATTTATAATAGTAGTAATCAAAAATATGTGATTTTATTTTTCTATATAAAATAATTATCTATAAAAAAAAATATCTAAAAATTTAAAATATCTATACACTCCTTAAAAAAACATTTTAATAAAAAAAATTAATTAATTACAAATTAAAACTTACCAGATTAATAGTATTTTTTGTTGTTGTTTGATATTGTTGTTTAATTTAATCACAAAAAAATTATTAAAAAATAAACAATTTTTTTCAAAAATAGAAACAACATATTTTTAAAAAAATATTTAATTAAATACATAATATATTATTAATATGTCTATTAAATAAATTGTTATTAATTATTATTATTGTTATTAAAATCATTTATATAATATTATGGTATATTATTATTATTATTATATAATATACACTTTACACAACTATATTTATATATATATATATAAAAAAATTATTAAAAAAATTTTAATTTTTATAATAATTACAATAAACTTTTTTTGTGTGTTTGTCTTTTTTAAAAAAAAATTGTCACTCTATGTGTGGTCTCCATTGAACTTAGCATTGACTTAAAAAAAATAAATTAAATGGAGTCTACTTGAGTGGTAACAAACAAACACACATAAATAAGTTATTGCTTGAAAATTATAATTAAAAAAATTTTTTTTAATAATTATTTTTCATATGTATATATATTAATAATGTTTTTTCACATATATATATTTATATGTATATATATGTATATATATATATATATATATATATATAAATATGTATATGTGAAAAAAATTATCAATGATATTTATTGATGATTGTTTTATAGGTGAGGGGGTGGGAGGTCTAACTACAGTTATTATAGCAAATTTTTTTTCAAATATAATTTATAACTTTATAAAATGTGTACTAAAAGACTCAATCATACTATAGTATCATAAAATATAAATTATTTAAATATATATAATTTAAAGCATAGCATTATATATATATTTTTAATTATCTATTTTAGTTTAAATAACTAAAATAGACTATAATAACTATCTAATATATATTTGTGAAATATTTTACCTAAATATATATATATATATAACTTTCCAATATTTAGATAACGGAGCAAATCAAATACATAAGCTGTCGATAAACCAAAACATAAAAACTGGTATCTAATTGATTGCGCAAGTATTATATATGTGTGTATGTGTGTGTATGTGTGTGTATGTGTGTGTATGTGTGTGTATGTGTGTGTATGTGTGTGTATGTGTGTGTATGTGTGTGTATGTGTGTGTATGTGTGTGTATGTGTGTGTATGTGTGTGTATGTGTGTGTATGTGTGTGTATGTGTGTGTATGTGTGTGTATGTGTGTGTATGTGTGTGTATGTGTGTGTATGTGTGTGTATGTGTGTGTATATGTGTGTATGTGTGTGTATGTATGTGTATGTGTGTGTATGTATGTGTATGTGTGTGTATGTGTGTGTATGTGTGTGTATGTGTGTATGTGTGTATGTGTGTGTGTGTGTGTGTGTATGTGTGTGTATGTGTGTGTATGTGTGTGTATGTGTGTGTATGTGTGTGTATGTGTGTGTATGTGTGTGTATGTGTGTGTATGTGTGTGTATGTGTGTGTATGTGTGTGTATGTGTGTATGTGTGTATGTGTGTATGTGTGTGTGTGTATGTGTGTGTGTGTRTGTGTGTGTATGTGTGTGTGTGTGTATGTGTGTGTGTGTGTGTGTGTGTGTATGTGTGTATATGTGTGTTTATATATGTGTACTATTTATTAATATGATAATCTAAAAAAATAAGTGAAAATTAAATTAATTGCTTACTAATAGATAGATTACGTTGCTGAAATAAATTATAATACTCATATATAATTTAATTTTAATTATTTAATATTATATATATATATATTGATATATTGTATACTAAAATTAATACAAAAATGTGTAAATAATAGATTAATTATAAAATTATAGCTTACTAGAGATTTAGATTAAATAAAATTTAGATTTTATAATAATACTAAATAGTTTATTTTATTGGATATATAATATTTTTTATTTGTTTAAAATTTTAATATAATATTTAATAAAATTAACACATATAATATCAAAACTATCAATACTGTAATTAATTTATTAAAAATATTTATTTATTTATTTATTTTGTTTTATTAGTGCAATCAAAAATTGTCTAGACTTTATTGTTTAACCACACACACACATACAGTATATACATACATACAAATACACACACACACACACACACACACACACATATATATATATATATATATATATATATATATATATATATATATATATATAGATAAAAAATAGACACTACATAATCTATAAAAAAAATTAACTAGGTTATTTAATTAATTATTATAAAAATTATTTCAATTAATTATAAAATCTATAAAATTTTATGAGAAATAAAATTAGAATATATATTTATTTACTTACTATAAATTATATATACTTTATATGTATACTTACTATACGGTATAATATAATAATAATAATATACTAAATTATATATAATGTATATATCAATATATATTGTACATAAAATCATTGGTCAATTAATTAATTAATTTAGTAAAAAAAATTTATTATATAATATAATATAACATTACATATATATATATAACAGTATATATGATGGCACACATTCAAAATATATATTATTATTATCATTATTATTATTAGTTGATAATAAAACTTTATATACTTGATTATTTTTATTACTGTTAATTTTATCAGTGTAACTTTTATTATAGTAGTTTATTTAAACTATATATTTATATATATATATATATATATACCGTTTAATGCTTAACATTTTGCTTAACAATATATATCTAAAATAAAAGTAATAATATTTTTTTTTCATTACATTTTATTTGAAATTTATTTAACATTTTTGAAAAAAATTATTATTATTATAAATTTAAAATAATTAAATATAATTAGTATGAGAGAAAAAGTAAAAAAAAATTATTGTTAATATTTGTATAATTTTTTTTTAACTATTTGTTTTCAAATACACACAAATTTGATTTTTATTATTTATTTGAATTTTATTGTTTTAGATAATAATTTTTATTTTAATGACATTTATTTGTTTTGTTTATTTAATTGTGATATAAAAAAACTGTTATATCAATTAGTTATTTAAAATAAATATTTACAAATATATATATATACAGTATATTATAGATAAAATAGTTTATATTTTTTTATCATGAAAATAAAGTTTTGAATACATTTGAATACAACAACAAAAAAAAGTCAAAACTATTTTTTTAAATTATAAATCATTTAAATTTGAAACATTTAAACAATAATTGTTGAAAACATTGCCTAAACTTACTATTCATAAACCATATATATATATATATATATATATATATATATTATTTATATAATTTATAAGTTTAAAAAAATAAATAAATTTCCATATTATTTACAAAAAATAAATCTTTACCCAAATATTTTAATTTTATAAATAAAAATTATTACTATTATTATCATATATGTAATAAATAATTTTTGTTTAACAAAAAAAAAAAAATAAAATAAAATGTTTATCTAAAAAACATTTTTAAACAATAATTGTTGAAAACATTGCCTAAACTTACTGTTGATAAACCCGTAGGCAAACGGATTAGTACAGCACGTGAAAAATGTCAACAATTTCATTGATGATAACCAATTGTTGCCGATTGTATGGCCAACCCATTCACGGCCATACCATATGCCAATCGTATTGACCGTATATATAGGTGTCCAGCATAGAAAAAATTCAATGACCACTAGAAACAGTATCCAAACTATACGTTTCTGACGGGCTTCGGCTACCAGTGGACAGGTATTTGAACGTAGAGTCAGTAGTATTGGTTGTTGGGGTTGTGGTTCCCGATTGTTATGCCTTCCGACATATGAGGCTCTGGTAGTAGTAGTAGTGTCTGGGTTTACAATACTATTGTTTGTTGTTGTTGTCAACGACACGACTCTGGGATCCGTTTCCAATAGGATCTGACGGCTGGGTCGGCGTCGGCGATGGCGACGGTGACGGCTGAACCGATCTGACGGTGCTTTCAATGATAGACTACTACTAACTGTTTAATAAATAATTTTTGAATTTAAATATTAATAATTTTTTTTTGTAAGAAAAAGTATTTTTTGAAGAAAAAGTTTTGTATTTTTTAAATTGATATAAATATTCAAACAATTGTTTTTTTTGTATTTTAAGATTCTTTAAAAAAAATTAAATTATTTAAAAATTAAATGTTATTTTAATATAACAAACAATGATATTAATAATAATAATAACATATATAATTATATACAACAACAACAAAATTTTTTAGATAATTAATAAATAGCTAACTAACAGTCAATTACTAAATTTGTTGCTAATAATTATACTTTTATATATATTTTTTATTATTATTAAAAATAATTTTCAACAAAAAAAATATTTTAGTTAAATAAATAAATTTGTTTTATTAGTATTATATTTTTTAAAAAAAATATTATTATTAATATATTTTTTAAATATTATTATTAATATATTTTTTAAATATTATTATTAATATATTTTTTAAATATTATTATTAATATATTTTTTTAATATAATTTTTAATATATTTTTTAAATATAATTTTTAATATATTTTTTAAATATTATTATTAGAATATTTTTTAAATATTATTATTAATATATTTTTAATAAACATTTTAGGAGATATTTTTAAGAAATATTTAAACATATTTAGACATAAATTATTTAATTGATAAAATAATATAAATATTTTATTACAAATAAATTCTTAGTATTATAATTAATATTGTTATTCATAATAAATATGTAATACAATAAAATATAATAACTAATTATAAATAAATAAATAAAATAAAATAAAATTACCCGGATATAATAAATGAAAAAAAATTATAAGAAAAAATATCTATTTATTTATCGATTAAATTATTTTTTTTACAAACAATATTATTATTATTATTGTTTTTTTAACATAAATAAATAAAATTATTAAAAATAATTCATATATTCCTTAATTATATGATTATTATTAATTTATAATATATGATAAACTAAAAAATTTTTTTTTATAATAGTTGTTATATATAATTATTATATTTATTGATTATTTATATCTATATATATATATAATTTATTTAAAATATTGTATTAAATATAATATACCTGTTTGTTGTTGTTGTTGTTGTTGATTGACTCTTAAGTTATGTCTTAATGTAATTGCTATCGACGTATAGGTGATGGACATTATCATCAATGGTATTATAAATAGTAATATATCTAAAAACAGTGTAAACGCTGTCAACAGTTGCAATGTTGGCCACGACTCCCGACACTTATAATTGTCTAATAAATTAATTAAATTTTTATTTTTGTTTATATATATATATATGTTTTCTTTAAAATAAATAAATATATTTCCAAATTATTTTTAAAAAATAAATCTTTATCCAAATATTTTATTTTTATAAATAAAAATTTATTACTATTATTATATTATTTTTAATTATTATATCTGTTTATATATTTTTATCTAAAAAAAACATTTAAACAATAATTGTTGTGTAACATTGCCTAAACTTACTATTCATAAACAATATATATATATATATATATATTTGTTTATATAATTAATAATTTTTTGAAAAAATAAAATAAATAAATATATTTGCAAATTATAAGTATAAGAGAATAATAAGTATAAGTATAATAATAATAATAATAATAATAATAATAATAATAATAATAATAATAATAATAATAATAATAATAAAAATGTGTGTTTATTTAGTGGAAAGTTATTTATTTTAGTTATGTTAGGGGGTGTGGGGATGGGGTTGGGTTGGGTGAGGGGTTTAGAGACACACCACTAACCAGTATTTTCGATGGGCTGTAGTTCACTGACTACAGCTATCGGCGACATCAACACCAACGACGCCAACCATACGATACCAACCAATCGATAGGCATAGGATAGGGTCTGCCGATAGCCGCGCGACCGCAACGGCTGACATATAGCGTAGTAGCGCTCGACCGATACCATGACCAGTGTCCACACCGATACCAATACTAATACGGCTTTTTTATATTAATATTAATTTATATATATTTATTAAAAACATGATAATAATAATAATAATAATTTTAAACATTTTTTTCTGTAGAGTATATATTTATAATTTAATATTTATTTAAAAAAAAAATATTTTTACAATTATTGAAAAAAATTAATAATTAAAAAAAATATTCTATATCTCAACAAAAAATAAATATTTTTATTTATATTGAAAAAAGCATAAAATAATAATTATAATAATAAAACATTTTTTCTGCAGAGTATATATTTATAATATAATATTTAATTTTTTTTATAAATATTTTTACAATTATTAAAAAAAATAATAATAATTATAATAATAAAACATTTTTTCTGTATAGTATATATTATTAATATAATATTTATTTTTCTAAATATTTTTTAATTAATCTATTAGAATAATAATAAAAAAAACTAATTAAATAAATTAGTATATAACTATTCAATTTATATACTATATTATTATTATTATATTATATAAATATATTTTTTTTGTTTACTGTATTAACTCATAAAAATATTTATTTAATTTTTTTAAATTTAATTTTTTTTTATTTAAAAAAAACAATTTTTGATTATAACATTTACATACCTTTTAGATAGGATATCACTGAACACATCAATGAACCGAAAATAAACAACTGTTTGTATAGTATGTCCATCAATGTTAAGGGCATATAAAATACAGTCAATAGTAGGTCACTGACGGCCAGATTCAATAGCAGACGATTGGTTACCGAACGCATACGGCGATTGGCGGCCAACGTAACGATGACCAGTAAATTGCCGATAATGGCCAATAAAAATATGAGACTATAGGGTACTATTAAGGTAGCAATTTGTTGGCCACTGATGCTGCTAAGCAGCTGCTGGTTCTGCAGCACCGGTAGTACAGGTAGCTCAGGTAGTTTGGTGTTGTTGTTGTTGTTGGGGTCATCATCAGTATCAACATCATTGTTATCATTGTCAACAACAACAATATGTGTGCCGTTGTTGTTGGTATTATTGTCGGCAATCAATAATAATAACGGTATGTCTATAATAATATAGCTGTCTGTTTGGCCAATGAGTTGTCGGTAATCGGGTTTGTCGTCAAACGGTAGTAGCAATTGATTGGTAATGCAAACAGTAGTGTTTGTATTATACATTATTTAATTGGAAATCTGTATTATATATATATTTTTATGTTTTAATTAATTATTTATTATAAATATTAATTATTTTCAAATTTCAAATACACAACAAAATAAAAAAAATTATTAAAAATTATTGAATAAAAATAATTTTAATTTTATATTAATTGCTAATTTGCTATTTTTGTTTAATATATTGAAAGTGTTAACAATTAAGTTATTAATAATTTATTATAAAAATTGTATAAAATTGTATACAATTATATAACGTATATAACAATTGATTGGTGCAAACATTGGTATTTTGATTATACATTAATTGAATTTATTTTTTAAATAAAAAAATTATATTAAAAAATATTAAAAAAATAATACTAAACATAAATTAAACTTATTGTTATTATTAGTATTATTTTACTTAATTTAATATTTAAATTCAAAATAATTTAATATTTTTATTTTTTTTAAATAAGTTTAATTATGCTATGTTTATATTAATTGTTTAAAACCTATTATAAAAGTTATTGAATTTCAAAAAAATATTCATCTAATATATTATAAACAACAACAAAATAAATAAATATTTTTGTATATTTTCAAATTAATTATTTAAAAAATTTATCATTATAAAACAATTTAAAAGCTATATTTTTATAATTACTGATTAAAAATTAAAATAAATGAAAATTATATGTTTTTTAAATAAATAATATAATAAATACATATAATTTTAAATAGTTTTTATTACAAATAATGTTTTTATTCAAACAGTAAATTAGTTTTAATTTAACAATTAATTGTAACTAAAATAAATATTAAAATAAAACTCACCTAATAAATAGTTAATGGTTTATTAAGTTTTTTTTTTGTGTATATAATAGTTATTTTATATATACTGTATATACTAATCACAATATATAGTAATATCTCATAATAATAACAAAATTTCAAAAAAATATAACAATTATAATAGAATTTTATGTAAATTATTATTAATTATTTAATGTAATAACAGTTAATGTAAAAATATTATACGTGTTTATATATATGTATATATAAATAATAATAAAGCGCAGATGTTTGAGATAAATATATTATATATATATATAAATATATATATAATATAGTATATAATATATACAAGTTATCTATATATATTAAAATATATATATATATATACAGTATATATATAAGCTGTCTATAAATGACAACAACAAACTATTGACAGTAAATAAACAGTAGTTTATATATATATATATATATATATATATAAACAAAATAAATGATAACATAAATAGTTAGATAAAATCTGCGCCAAAAATAGAGGTTATTATATTAAAAAAAAAATTATTAGTTAAAAATAATTTTATTTAATAACTTTGCATTTTATTAAAACAAATAATTAAGAAAATTGTAGAAAAAATAATTAAGAAAAAAATTGGGATTTAATTATTTTATTTTTTGAAAAATAATTTGTTTAATAATTTTTTTTAATTTAAAAACTAAAAATAGAATTTTTTTAAATATAAATTATTTAATCAGAAATTAATTATAAAAATTTAATAATATAATTTTAATAATAAAAAGATTATATATTTTTCTATAATTCTATATATAATATTCAATTTATTATTATTAGCAATATTATGAATAAAAATATTTATTTTTGTATAAAAATTATTTTATTAAAAATAAATAATTAATACAAACAAATACACATACACAAACACACACACACACACACACACACACACACACACAAATACACACACACACACACACACACAAACACACACACACACACACAAATACACACAAATACACACACACACACACACACACAAACAAACACACAAACAAACACACACACACACACACACACACATACATACAAACTCACATACATACAAACACATACATACATACAAACTCACATACATACAAACTCACATACATACAAACACATACATACATACAAACACATACATACACATACATTATTAATAATAATAAACATAATACACATAATAATTGATAAACAAAATAATTTATTTTTTATACATTCAGTCTTAAACAATATATACTGTATATTATTTCACCTAAAATTTGTCAGACATTTAGATATAACTATTATATAAGTTTTTTTTTGTAGTGATTTTTATTATGCATTTCATATTACTATTTACTTATCTAATGTCCATTACAGCGGATATGAGAAAAATGTCCATCACTTGAGTGTTAATTTTTTTTTGGGGTCAATATATATTGATATACAGTATATATATATATATATATATATATATATATACAGTATCTAATATATCTTCAATAACAACATCAAAAATGATCAACATTTCAAGCAAATAACAATATGTGTGTGTGTTTTATGTGTGTTTTTTTTCTAGATATTAAAAAATTATTATTGAAAGAAAAATCTCAGTTTTAAATAATATAATTAATTATAATTATCTTTATACATTATTTAATAGTGTTTGTAGTATTTATTTTAATAATTTTAAAATATACTTTTATTTTCATTTATTTATATAATTTTTTGTAATGTGTGTGTGCGTGTATATAAATTTATATATATATATATGTTTGTGTATGTATGTGTATGTTTGTGTGTATGTATGTGTGTGTATGTGTGTGTATGTGTGTGTATGTGTGTGTATGTATATGTATGTGTTTGTATGTGTGTGTGTATGTGTATGTATGTGTATGTATGTGTATGTATGTATGTGTGTGTGTGTATGTATGTGTTTGTGTGTATATGTGAGTATTTGTATGTATGTGTTTATGTCTGTGTGTATATATGTGTGTGTATAGATGTTATTATATTTACCACAACAACAACATAATACATATGACCAGTGGCTACTCAAATGTCTGGTCAATACCTAACTTGAATCTATTAATAGAAAATTTATTTATTATCATAATATATATATAAAATAAAAAAATAAAAAACATATAAAATATTTTTTTTTGGCAAACATTTCAGTTGAGATTTATTGAAATTGAGAAAAAAAATTAATAAAATGTTGAATAATTAAAAAATAAATACTCTTTATAATATTGTTAATTTTATTTTTTTTTTGTAAATTTATGATTTTATCAATTAACAAATAATAATTAAATATATCAAATATATAATACTGTACATAAATATTTTTAATAGTTTAATAGCATAACTTATAAATAAACATATATATATATATATACTGTATATATTTTTAAAAATAATAATTTTAAAAATTTACATTTAATACTACAATAATAATAATAATTGTTTAACATTAGTAAAAATAATTGTTTTTTATTTATTAACTATAACATACAGGCTATCAAATAACAATTAAGTAAAAAATTGTTTAGATTATTATATTAATTAATTTTTTGTTAATACAAATATATATATATAAATACTAATTATATTAAATCATTGAAATTAATATTTAATAATCTAATACTTGAATAATATACTACAAGTAAAATATATTACGATATATAAAAAATAAAATATTTATATATATACCTGTATTAACATAAATTAATTAATATAAAATATATATAAATATAATCTAATATATATATATAACTAAACTTACTATTGATTTAAATTTATATTTTGTCACAAAATATAATATTTAAAAAAATAATAACAATTTAATAGCAATTTTATTTTTAGACATTGAATCTGAATAAAGCTATTTATTTTTTTTATATAAAAATACAATATTTTTTTTTCTAAACAATATAAATAGTAAATACTGTATATATTTGTTTCTATAATTAAGTTTTTTTTAACAAAATAAATAAATATATTTCCAAATTATTTACAAAAAAAATAAAATAAATCTTTACAAATATTTTTTTTTTAAAAATAATAAAAATTATTACTATTTATATATATGTAATAAATATTTTTTTTACAAAAAAATAAATGTTTATCTAAAAACATTTAAACAATTGTCTAAAACATTGCCTAAACTTACTATTCATAAACCCGTAGGTAAACGGATTAGTACAGCAGGAAAAAAATGTTAACAATTGAAAAAACGATAACCAATTGGTACCGACCATTGTCTGGTCAGTCCATTCCCGGCCATACCATATGCCAATCGTATTGACCGTATAGATAGGTGTCCAGCATAGGAAAAATTCAATGACCACCAGAAACAGTATCAAAACTATACGTTTCTGGCGGGCTTCGGCTACCAGTGGACAGGTATTTGAACGTAGAGCCAGTCCTACGGTGCTTACAGGTGCTGGTGGTTGTTGAGGGTCTGGTTGTTGTTGAGGTGGTTCCCGATTGTTATGGTCGACATATGAGGCTCTGGTAGTAGTGTCTGGGTTTGCAATACAGGTGTTTGTTGTTGTCAACGACACGACTCTGGGATCCGTTTCCGATGATAAACACTGGCCGTGTCGTCGACATCGACGACGCCTACGACACCGATCTGACTGTGCATTCAATGATAATCTCATTACTAGAAGATTAAGTAGTTTTTTGTTTGTTTGTTATACAACAAAAAAATTAAATGAAATAAAATAGAAATCAAATATTAGTATAAATTTTTTTTAATTATTAATTAATTATTTTTTTTTTTGGTATAAATATTAACAATATTTTTGTCTCTCTCTCTATGTGTGTGTGTGTTTGTCTGTATTTTTGTCCAAACCTGACAATTATTATTATTTTATTAATAATAATTATGTGATTTATAATCACATAATTATTGTATGTTTTTATTAATAAAAAAAGTGTCCAAACAATCGCATGTTTTTATTATTATTATTATTATTATTGAACATATAAACAGACCACAGTGTATATGGATTCTGTAAAAATTAATTAATTAGTTTAAAAAAAAAATAATTATATAAATATTTTTTTAAAAATATCAATAATAATAATAACGTAATTTTTAATGTTACTAATATAAACTAATATATAGTCAAAAATTTATAACATTAGTTATATATATATATATATATATAATTATTTTAATAATTATTGTTATATATTAATATTATTAATTAAAAAATATTAATTGTATGTATTAATTACTATAGTAATTTTTGTAAACATAATAATTAATTTGATATTTATAATTAAAAAAAAATTGTACATACCCAGGTAATGTTTATTTATTTATTTAATTTATTATTATTTTTTTAAAAATTTTAATTTGATTAATGCAATTATCTAAATAAATTTGTTAATTGTTTTTTTAAAATCAATTTTTATATACATTAGAAATAAAAAAAAACCAGTAATTAATAATAATTTAAATAATAAATTAAATTATATACTATTTTTTAACTTAAAAAAATGAGTAATTAATTTAAATTATATTATATTATTAATAATATTTTTATTTAATCAAAACTCATCATTATATTTAGCAGATATTTAATATTTAATAATATATTATATATTATATATATATATTAGTAATTAATATTATAATTACAAATATTGTTATTTTTTTGTAACTTATATATATTAATATAATATTAACTATAAAATAATATAGTATTAATCATATTTAAAAAATGTAATAAAATATAGTAACTAATATCAACAATAAAATATTAATAGTAATTCATATTAAAATGTAATAAAATATAGTAATTAATATCAACAACAAAAAAATATAAATATATTTATATATAATACCGGATATAATATCAATAGATTAATAAAAATACAAATTTGTTATCAAAATATCAATTAATTGATTGATTGACTAAATAAAAAAAATATTATTACTACTAAAAACTATTTACTATTAATTAAAAAAAATTATTATTAATAATAATCATTAAAAAATCAGTAAAATAATACTAATAATAATTATATTATAATATATTATTATTATTATTATTATTAAAAAAAAAGTTTCTAATGAACATATTTATAAATTTTTAATTAATTTAATTTAAATTAAAATATAATAACCTTATAATTATATTTAATACTAATTAAAAATAATATATATATATATATAAATATATATAAATAATAAAATTAATTGTAATGTACCTGTTTGTTGTTGTTGATTGACTCTTAAATTATATCTTAATGTAATTGCTATGGAGGTATAGGTGATGGACATTATCATCAATGGTATTATAAATACTAATACATCCAAAAACAGTGTAAACGCTGTCAACAGGTGCGGTGTTGGCCACGACTCCCGACACTCATAAATGCCTATTAATTTTTGTTGATAATAATAATATTAATTTTTTTATTATTCAGAGGACAGTTAGATATGTGTTTAACTACCAATGTTTTCGATGGGCTGTAGTCGGCTGACCACAGCTATAGGCGACATCAATACCAACGATCCAAACCATACTAAGCCAATGATCCGGTAGGCATAGGATAGGGTCTGCCGATAGCCGCGCGACCTCAGCGGCTGACATATAGCGTAGTAGCGCTCGACCGATACGACTACCAGTGTCCACACCGATACCATTACTAATACGGCTTTTTTATTTTGTTTGTTAATATTTATATTTGAAAAAAATTATTATTAATAATTAGAAAAAACATTTTTTCTGTAGTTTATGTATAATATAATATTTAATTAAAAAAAAAATTATTTTTACAATTATTAAGAAAAATTAATTAATTTTAAAAAAAATATTCTATAGCTCAACAAAAAATATAAAAATATGATTATCTATAATAATAATAATAATAATTTTTTAATATTATTTAATGATTGAGAAAAATTAATTTTTTAAAAATATAGTTATCTATTATAATAAAAAAAACTAATTAATTAGTATATAATTACTCAATTTATTAATTATATTATTATATCTATCTATTTATATATAAATATTTTTTATATATAGATATACTAATAAAAACCATTTACTAAATGACTATTTTATTTGATTTTATTATCAGTGCTATAAATATTATAAAAACAAAAAAATATGTTTAAAATAATAATAATTATAATAATAAACACATACTATTTATTTTGGCATAAATTTTCAAAATGTTTATAATTTTGTTTAGGAAATTATAATATAATATTTTGTATATATTTCGAAATTAAATCATAAAATTAATTTTTAAACAAAATAATATTAATAATAAACTGTTTTATAGGTAATATATATATATATTTATATATAATTTTTTGTTTTACTGTATTAACACATTAAAAAACTATATAAATAATATTTATTTAATTTTTTTAAGTAAATTTTGTTGTTGTTGTAAATATTTTAGTATTTAATAAATGATTTTTTTTATTAAAAAAATATTTATTTTTCTTAAATAACATATATCTTATAATTAATTATTTATTTTATTTAAAAAAAAATCTCTATTTATTTTGTTTTTAATTTTTAATTTAACAAAAAAATTTAATATTCACTATTTATTAATTATTTTAAAAAATTAATTAATTAATAACAATATATTTATGGACATACCTTGCAAATAGGGTATCAATGAGCACATTAATTGGCCGAAAATAAACTGTTTGAACAGTACGGCCATCAATGTAAACGGCATACAAAATACGGCCAATAGTAGGTCACTGACGGCCAGATTCAATAGTAGACGATTGGTTACCGATCGCATACGTCGATTGGCGGCCAGCGTAACAATGACCAGTAAGTTGCCGACAATGGCCAATAGAAATATGAGACTATAGGGTACTATTAGTGTAGCAATTTGTTGGCCACTGATGCTCAGTAGCAGCTGAGGTAGTATATGCTGCACCGGTAGCTGATTGTTGTTGTCGTCAACAATATGTGTGCCGTTGTTGTTGTTGTTGTTGGTGTCGGCAATCATTGATAGTAACGGTATGTCTAAGTCTATGATAATACTTGAACTATTGGTTTGGACGGCCAGTCCTACTACCGGTTTGTCGTCAAACGGTAGTAGCAATTGATTAGTCGTATTATACATTACTTGAATAATTTTTAAAAAAATTATTTTAAATTATATTTAAAAAATAATATCAAACAAAAATTATTATTATTATTATTTTACTTAAATTAAATATTTAAATTTTCAAAAAATTATTAATGTATTTAATTTTAAAATATTATTTTTTGTTGTTGATTAAGTTTAATTATGCTATGCTATTATATTAATTGTTTTAAAACCAATTATAAATGTTTATTGAATTTCAAACAAAAATATTATACAATAACAACTAATAAATAAATAAATAAATAATTTTCTAACATTTAGTATATATTCAAATTAATTATTATTTTTTAAAAAAAATTATCATTATAAAACAATTTTAAAAAGCTATATTTTTATGATTATTACTAATTTAAAAAAATTTTTAGATTATTAAAATAATTTCAATTTTATATTAATTGCTAATTTGCTATGTGGTTTAATATATATTGAAAGTGTTTAGGTTAACAATTATTTGTATTTTTAAATTGTATAAAATTTTATCATTATATAATTAATTAACTTTTTTAAAAAAGTGTACAAAATTTAATTGATATATTAAAAGTAATAAAAAAATTTAAATAAAATTTGTTATAATTTATCTTTAAATATTTTTAATAAAATCAAATAAAATAAAATAAAAATCTTACCTAAAAAAACAGTTTATTATTATTATTATTTTGTTTAATTAAAAATTATTTTTATAATTTAATTTCGAAATATAGAAATATTATTATATAATAATTTCATAACAAAATTATAGACATTTTTTTGAAAATTTATGCCAAAATAAATAATATATGTTTATTATTATAATTTATTATTATTTTAAACATTTTTTAAAATAATATTTATAGCACTGATAATAATCAAAATAAAATAGTTATTTATGGTTTTTATTAATATATCTATATATCTATTAATAATAATTATTATTAAAAAAATATATATATAATAAATTTTACTTAAAATATATAGAAATTATAATTTTTTTGTGGATGTATAGGAAAAAAGTCTATTATTTAAATAAACAAAAAAATATTTTTAAGCAAATATTTTCATAAATATATATATTATTTATAATTATAATAGTTTTTTTTAAAAAAAAACGTTTAAATACTATTAATATATAGTATTGTAAAATATTATTTATTTATTATATATATGATAATTTAGCAATTTATTATTATTATTATTATTATTATTAGTTATTATTTAACTTATAGTAGACTAATATATTTTTACGTATATATAAAATAATAATAACTAAAGATATATAGACATCACATACATAGCGCAGATGTCATATAACTATAGTTATACTGTACTGTAATATACATATTATGTAAAAATATATATACTGTATATAATATTACATACAATTACAAGCAATAAACTAAACTACATAAGCTATCGATAAATGCCAAACAAAAATTGGTCTAATTAATTGCGCAAATGTGTATGTACTGTATGTGTGTGTGTGTGTGTGTGTGTATATGTGTGTGTCTATGTGTGTGTCTATGTGTGTGTGTCTATGTGTGTGTGTCTATGTGTGTGTGTCTATGTGTGTGTCTATGTGTGTGTCTATGTGTGTGTCTATGTGTGTGTCTATGTGTGTGTGTCTATGTGTGTGTGTGTGTGTGTGTGTGTGTGTGTGTGTGTGTGTATGTATATATATATGTGTGTGTGTGTATGTGTGTGTATGTGTGTGTATGTGTGTGTATGTGTGTGTGTTTGTGTGTTTGTGTGTCTATGTGTATGTGTGTCTATGTGTGTGTATGTGTATGTGTTTAATAATTAATGTTTTAGTAAATTTGACACAAAATTTTATAAATATTATATAACAAAATAAATTATTGAAATTTATGAGTAAACAACTAATTATTAGTAATTAGTAATAGCTTATTTGAGCATGATAAAATTATTAAATAAATCTATTAATTTTAATAAATTAAGCCATTATAAGCTCATTATATATATATAAATATTAATAATAAATTTAATCAGCTTAATAATAATAATAATAATTAATGAATTAAATATTAATAATTTTAGCTAAAATAAATTGTTTTATTTTTTTTTGAAAAAATTAATTGTATAAAGTATTTAACAAAATTATACTAAAACTAAGATTATATGTACAATACTGTCAAATACAATAATAATAATTATAATTATAAAATTTTATTTTATTTTTTGCTATCTATTAGTTTAGTTTAACAACTAATTAATTATAATTTTTTTTTGAAAAATTTTTTATTGTTGAATACAAAAATTTGTTGTCTAGACTATTTTAATAAAATTATTTAATAAAAAATAAAATAAAATAGAAAATACCCTAGATAACCAAATTTCAACCTAAAATATAACATAGTAATTAAATGACTAGGTTAAAAAAACTTTTTTCATTAAAAAAATTAAATTTCTAATTAATTTTTTTTTATTAAAATCTAAAAAATATGTTACTAGATGAAATTAATTAAAATATATAATCAAAAAAATATTTAAAAAAATATACATAATATTGTTTATCATTATTAAGTTAATTTTAATAAAACAATTATTTAATTTATATTACATATATATATAGTTAAATAACAGTTTCATATACAATATATATTATATACAGTATATACTGTATATATATAAATATATAGTATTATTGATTGATCCTAATATTATTTGGTTTATATTTATTAGTTAGTATTGTTTGATAATTAAACTAAAAAAGATCAATAAAATTAATTGTATTATAAATATTTCAATCAAAATGTATATATACTATATATTTACTGTTTAGTTGATTACATTTTACATATATTTTTAATACTAATTAATCTTTTTAAATAATAATAATAAGTAAATAGATATTAAATAAAAATGCTTTACGTTTAAGGTAATATTTTTATTAAAAATATAAATTATAATAAATTTTATAACAATTAGATTTGATATTACTTTTTTGTTATAATTTTCTTTTATTATTATTATTAATTTTAGATAACATTTTTTGCTTATATTTAATAAATGGCATTACATTCATATGTACTGTCGATACAATTGGACTGGACTTTGCCGATCGGCTATTGTTAACCTAATTGTTTTTAATTACAATGAAATGAAATAACAATTAATATATGAATTATTAAATACATAAATAAAAAAATATATAAATTTTGTTATAATTTTAATTATATTTATAATACGCACACACACACACACATACGCACACTCACAAACACACACAAACACATACACACACACACATACATACACACACATGCATACACACACACACACATATACATACATACATATATACATACACACACATATACACACATACACACACGCACACCCACAAACACATACATACACACACACACACACACATACATACATACACACACATACATACACACACACACATGCATACACACACATACATACACACACATGCATACACACACATAAATACACACGTACATACACATATACACACATACACACACGCACACCCACAAACACATACATACACACACACACACACACACACACATACATACATACACACACATACATACACACACACACATGCATACACACACATGCATACACACACATAAATACACACGTACATACACATATACACACATACATACACACACACACATACATACATACATACATACATACATACATACATACATACATACATACATACATACATACATACATACACATATACACACATACACATACACACATAGATACATGCATATAATAGTAATAGTACAACAAATATTACGGTAATATAAATAAATAATAAATAATAATAATAAACTATAAACTAATTGGACAGTTATTTAATCAAACAATTAGCCTAAAAATATATGATATATTTTTTAACAATCATAACAAATATACCTCTTTCCTGAATACCAGTGCCGCCGACTTTAGTCGACTAATTAGATTCAATTTGATTAACACGGGATCCGTTTTATGATCTTCGCTGTGCATATCAATCAATGCATCAATCAGTTCGGCTCTGACCACCAAATCGCCGGCAGCCGACACCAGTCCCGATAATAGTAATTCGGTTAGCCGTTCGATAAACCCAATGTCCTCAGATCGTTGGCCGCACAGTGACATCAAATTAATAACATTAATCTTGTAGGCCATTGAACAGCCGTCGCCGGTTGTCCACTGCTGTAGCCGTAGACAATTGGCCCACAGTTTATCCAAATCGCTAACCGATAGCGACAACTGTT